AGGTGCTGGTTGTCCCAAAGGTGGTCCAGCGGCCTCTTGAAAAAAGCTCCTTTGGGACTATCGCCGCCATTCCAAACCTGCTTATGTTTCTTCCGTCTCCTTCCTGTACAAAATGACTTCCTACGTCCACCAGTTAATACAGAAGTAAAGTTTACAAATACCGAATCGCTACGGGGAAAATACCCACTAAAGCCACCACTAGGATCCTATTACTCCACGCAGGCGCCTTAAGCACGCGCAATTTTGAAACTCCATTTCCCAGATATCTTCGGGCGCCTGTCTTTCGTTGCTCAGCAACCAGTGTCAACCTACAATGGAGCCGAGTGGGGAACAAGAGGGCGATGATGCAAAAGGTAATTTTCCCGCTTTGTCCACGCAAGACGTTAAACTTGGAATTGACTTCCCTTGACCTTGAAGTGCCCCACCCCCGAAACCATTCCTTTCTCATAGCAACGAGCTTATTAGTAATTTATGATTATTATTATTATTAGCTGCTTATTAGTAGAGTAGAGTAAAAGCAGGCAAATGCATTTATTGAAATAATAAATAGGTTCAGTCATTGGAGTACTTTGTGGAAATCACGTCTTCAAATTGAAAAGAGGGCGAATGTTAAAACATGATCGAGTAAATTCCATTGGCGACTCTTTGCTCCCTTTGGGAAAGGGGATGCAGAATCCAGAAATAAGCATATTTCTCAGATTTGCTATAAAACGCAACATAGCTTTAACAACATTTCTTCCTGTTTTTTACTTTTGCTAAATACAACATTTAGTATTTTCGCTTTACTTTTTAGTGGATATATGAGTGGCAATTTAATGGAAGAAAATGAAATTCAGTACCTTTTCATTGAAAAGGAAAATTGCAGTTTTTATTTTAAATATGATTAATCACTCAAATTAATTCCCTAGCTCACTGAGATACTGGATACTTACTCTTCTGCTGACAAGCAACAGGTCAATTGCAGCTGGAACACAATGGAATTGATTTATTCATTCAGTCAATTTATATGCATGCTCATTTCAAATGAATGACTCTGAGAAACTAATGATTTTTAAAAACCAGCCAAAAAATAGACACGGTAATTGCAGCTGAGATCTTTTTTTTTTAAAGCATCAGTACAGATACAAGTATTTTAATAAAGCAGTTTTGTAGGATCCAATGGACATTCTAGCCCCCAAATCTGGGATCACAGCTATGTCTTTAGGGTCATGTATAAGGCCAATCTGATATATAAAGGTAATATTTCACAGGGCAGGAACAGTGACAGAGGTCACTGGTGAGGAGGTACTCTTTAATAATTGGGATCTCCCCTCCTCCTGGATCTGATGAGATGGGTAGACATTACTGGTGGTCCTTTAAATAATCTGGTCCATGTCGAGTGCTTTATAGGTAACCACCAACACCCTGAAATGAACCTAAAACCTATTGCCCCTAATTCAGCTCACAGAACAGATGTGTAATAAGCAGATCAAGAAACATTCATACCTGCCAACATTGCTGCATTTTGCACCAACTCTTTAAGGGCAACCCTCTGTTGAGTGCATTGCAATAGTTCATCTATGAAGTGGCTAAGGTCTGAGTGACAGAAGATCCTTCTATCTCAGAAGGAGTGCAACTGGCACACAGTGAAAAGCTATGCAAAGGTGTAGCTTCAAAATCCATTATCAATCTCAAATAAGAGCTGTGAGTTGAGGAAGACTCCCAAACTGTGTACTGTTTCTATTTGTGATACAAAGCCCCATTGACAAAAGAGATGGATATCTAATACCTTCACCCTAGCCTCAAAACACCAACATCCATCGCAACACTTGGGCGACCTGGGTTGCAAATGCAAAATTAGGTAACATCAGCACATTGATTATATCTCACCCTGGGCCAGTGGATGACCTTATCTAGTGGCTTCAGATAGATGTTAACAGAAGTGGGGAGAATACTAAGTCCTACTACACCCTGAAAACCAAGGCAAGACTGAACAGAACCTTCCTTGGAGGAAGGAAGAAAACTAGCCACAGCCTAGTACTGTCCATTCCCAACCCTTGAAAATGGTTCAGAAGGATACCATGATTGATAGTATCAAAAACTATTTGAGAGTTCAAAGAGAAGTACCCATCCTGCTTCTGCCAGAGATCATCTACTAATGTGATCAATGTGACTTGGTATCATGACCAGTTCTGAAACTCAAATGGAAGGAGGGCTGATAATCTAGCTTATAAAGAGTTCTTTGTGGAAACTCTTTAAAAACCATAATGTTTTCCCCGATAATTTTCCATGTCTTCAAATGTTTTCTATGTCTGACAAACTTTGTGCAAGAAATACTACGTCGATTTAACCATTTCTTTAATTCTATAGAACTTCGGTCTCAAAATTTGTTTGTGGGTTTCATGGAATTTCAAGTACAAAGCTTATGAGTTTTTAACAATCAGTAAAACAGTGAATATGTGTAAATTCATGTTATGCTCTACAATCACAGTGTGATTTAAAAAAATACATAAATTGTTATTGCAAATGTGTTAATGTTCTATTTCTGTATTTGAAAGTAAGGATGATTTTATATATATATAATCTAAATATAATATAATTAATATAATATAATATAATATAATATAATATAATATAATATAATATAATATAATATAATATAAT